ACTGGCTCTGACTCACAGTTTGCACAAGCTTAAACCTCCCTCCAACAGCGAGATGATGTGTGTCTGTCATTATCCAAGAACAATACAGCTGGCTTAACTGTAATTTACAGTATGATTCAATCAGTTTACTCTACCATTAAATCGAGCCCATTTTTAGCCTATAAAGTATTTTTAGCATCCATTTTTCTCTTTACTTATTTTATTTGACATTTAATTCAGAAATTTTTGTCAAATTTGTTTTTAACACTCTTGAAATGTTAGGTCAAATATTCATAACTTAATATAGGGAAGAACAAGATGGCTAGCAACGGGGCTGGTTAATGGTAGTTTAGATCAGCCATGGACCGTTATATAGTTTGGTTATAATTTGGCTTTATTTCGTATTTAGTCACACGTCTAATCTTCATTTACTGTGGTTTTTTTTTTATTTACTTGTGTTTATTTAATCTTCTCTAAAGCCTGTTTTGATTTGGTTTTTAAAATAAAACTGATGGTGCTAAGTTAATTTCTCATATATATAGTTTAAAAAAAGAAGAAGAAGAGAAAAAAAAAAGAGCCTCCCCGTCGGGGAATCGAACCCCGGTCTCCCGCGTGACAGGCGGGGATACTAACCACTATACTAACGAGGATTAGCTGTCAAGCTAGTAGCCGCATTGCAATGCTATGTGTGTCAACGAGGAGTTGCGGCGCCTTTTTGCTGTGAAAAGAATGTGACCACGGTTCGAATCCTTTCTACGTGTCTTCATTTTCATAAAGAATCTGAGTTCGAATCATTACCACTGTACTATGATTCTGGTTATTACGTTGCTAACTATGGCTGACTAAGTTCACCAAGCCATCGGAGGCACATGTGCAAACTGCTATCAAGAAACTGGAAAGCTGCCACTTCTCCAGAAGAACGAGTCCTACTAAAATGTTTTTTATGTGAGCTAGATGATTTATAACCAGCATAAAAATGTAAAAAAGTGCGTAGCTTGACATCAGTGTTTTTAATAAATCCAAACAGAGTGCAGCATGGATGCACCGAAACCGCAATATTATTGTTGTAAATCACATATACGCATTTATTTGTATTAATTCGAGTGCAATGCTTAAAAGAGTACCTACATAGTATTGTTTCATCTTTTTAAATGTTTTAATTTGATTTAAAAAGCAGCTTTGTGATATAGTAACACCTTGATACAGTGCAATACATTATAACGACTAGATAAGTTAAATAACGTCCTGTAAATACTCGTTAATATTACTAAAAATGCAAACAGGAGTCTACAGTCCCACAAACCAACACAACCCTCTAATCCTAATGAGGACACATATGCAATATTTCTTTTAGAATTTAGGTATGTAAACAAGCAAAGATGGAAACCAGCCCAAATAAGCTTTACCGTTATTACTAGTGTTTCACCTGAAAAGGTAGAAACGGCGGCTGTAAGCTTAACTGTTCATCACTGCCTTTGTTACCTTTTTAAGTTCAGGGCCTGGCTGCAGGGCTGGGGTCCACACTCTGCTTCATCATCACTCTGGGTTCTCTGCTAGCTTAGCGTTAGCTAACATGCTGTCTGCGCAGATGGTTGCAAAGAGTTGACGCTGTGTTAGCAGTTTAATGCAGTAGTTTCTCTCCTGGACGCAGTTTTCAGTTTATTAACGTCCTCTTGTCTTTTGTGCAATAAAAATAAAAGTAAAGTGCATGTCTCCACTCTTGAAGACCGCCACCATTTGCCCTCCTCCTGCACACGCACTAACATCAGCTAATTGTAGCAAGTGAACAGGAAGATATATGTTAGATGTTTCTATCGTTCTGTCCACCTGGGATGCAGACAACTGAAGAACCTTTGTAACCCAAGTAACGACATAATTGTAGCTATAATGTGATTGCTGAATTTAGTACAGTCCCTGACTGAGTTATTGAAAAATGTAATGTAATTACAGTAATGTGTTACTTTATAAAGTGTTATAACCAAATCTGGTTACAAACCTTGGTACAGAAAACTGCTAGAGTTTCCTTTTAAGTTAGTGTGATGGACAGGGTAACAGCTGAGGTCAGGCAGGAGGCTCCGTGGACTTGATGTTCACAGACGATATCGTGATCTGTAGTGAAAATAGGGACCAGGTAGTAACGAGCCTGGAGAAGTTGGGGTGTTCTCAGGAGAGAAGAGGAATAAAAGTCAGTACAACAAGACAGAATACATGTGTGTGAATGAGAGGGAAGCAGATGGAAAAGTGAAGCTGCAAGGAGTAGATGTAGTGAAGGCAGGCGAGTTCAAATACCAGTGGTAATCCAAAGCAACAGACAAAGCACAAGAGAGGTAAATAAGAGAGTGCAGGCAGGGTGGAGACAAGTGTTGAAAAGGGTGAGTGAAAGGGAAGGTTTACAAGGTGGCAGTGAGACCTGCTGTGATGTATGGTTTGGAGATGGTGGCAGTGACATAAAAACAGGAGGCCGAGCTGAAGGTGTGAACATTTCCATTGAGAATGGACAAGATCAGATGCCCAGCTTGGTTCGAGCAGACAAAGTCAGAGTGATGGCCTGTACATGTGCAGAGGATAGTGGAGATATTGGAAATGGTAAATGGCCTGTATTTGTATAGCACTTTACTAGTCCCTAAGGACCCTAAAGCACTTTACACATTCAGTCATCCACCCATTCACACACACATTCACACACTGGTGATGGTAAGCTACATTGTAGCCACAGCCACCCTGGGGCGCACTGACTGAGGTAGTCTAATAATTTTTTAAGCACTGTATATGTGTTAGATTACAGATTTCACAGTTTATAAATACTCATGCTTGCTTTGCCAGCAAGCACACAATCAAAGCTAAACGTTTATTG